GGTAAGAACTTTGGGTTTTATTTTAAGTGATTTGGGAAGGCATTCCAGGGTTTTCAGTGGAAAAATGACATGATCAGGTTTCTGTTTAGCTAATAAACCCAGAAATGCGTGTGTGGTTGGAGAAACACTGATGAGGAAACCATTGCAGTCATCCAAAGTAGAGATAAGAAAATCCTTGGGGATAACGGGTAAGGGTTCATAAAGGAATAATGTTATATTAGAAGCATGGATGATAGGACATTTGCTAGGCAGGAAAGTCAGGTATGTGTATGAGATGAACTAGAAATAACTTTGGATGACTAGTTGGGTGGGGGTGAGTGGCAGGAGGTAGAGCTATTGGCCAACTGGGAAGGGGTCTGAAGGTTGATCTAGGGATGCAGGGTTACCAAATTGCAAAACTACCAAATTCTATGTAGGTATGTCCTTGGGAGTTGTGCAGCAAGGTAGCCTTGCTAGGGAGTTTGGCTCTGGGCCTGAAAGCAGCTATATGGCTTTTACTTAGGATGGAGACTGGAAGCTGGCATCTGGGATGACTAGGTGGGGCAGTGCTAGGACAGAAACCAAGCAGGAGGCAAGACACTATAAGGCCTGAATTAGGTGGGGGTTGTTGAACTGGAAGTGGAGGTTTTGGGCTTACAATGAACAGTCAAGAGGATTTGAGGTGTGGATTAGGGAGAAAAGCTATTGAGCCCTTTTTATTTATTTTGCTTGTTTGTTTGTTTTGTTTTTGTTTTTCATTATATGAGGCGTTTTAAAAAATACAAAACCGGGCCGGGTGCAGTGGCTCATGCCTGTAATCCCAGCACTTTGGGAGGCCAGGGCAGATGGATCACAAGGTCAAGAGTTTGAGACCATTCTGCCTAACACGGTGAAACCCTGTCTCTACTAAAAATACAAAAAAATTAACCAGGCATGGTGACACGTGTCTGTAGTCCCAGCTACTCAGGAGGCTGAGGAAGGAGAATTGTTTGAACTGGGAGGCGTAGGTCGCAGTTAGCTGAGATCGTGTCACTGCGCTCCCGCCTGGGCGACAGAGCAAGACTCTGTCTCAAAAAAAAAAAA